TAGGTCTGTCTGAGGACACAGGTGTAACCATGAGCGTGGCAGGCTGAGGGCTAGCTCTGCTCTCCCACGCCGCGGCGCCCAGGGTACCGCCTGCGGGCTGGAGAGGTGAGGAGGAGGGGGAGCAGCTGCAGCCACAGGGAGCAGGAGGAGGGGAACTCACAGGCAACGCCAGGAAGGCATTGAAATACTCCAGGAAGAGGTCATCATAGGTCAGGAGCTCCTCTAGATCTGCAGTGAGAGACAGAGAGGCTGGGGGGCTTGAGGGCAGCCAGGACGGCACCAAGCACTGCCATCCCTCTGTTCCCCAGGGAGCTTCACCCCGCTCAGGTCTCCTGAGAGGGGAGCCCCGGGCAGGCTCCCTCTGGGCACACGTGCAGGTCAGGAGGCCTCAGGAGCATCGAGGCCCAGCTTCGCAGTATTTGCTGGGCAGACATCCTCAGTGGGATGTCTCAACTCCTCCACCAAACTGCCAGCTGCATGTACCACTGGGCTTGGGGTGGGACAGGACAGGATGGGACGGGACGGGACGGGATGGGACAGGACGGTCTGAGGTCCAGACCTGTCTGCTCTGGAAAGCATATGAGCAGTCCCAGACCCAGAAGTGCTGTAGACTGATGTCAGCTCCTAAGCCAGCAATGCCCAGCGTTGGTTCGTCCCCTACACCTCATAGCTGTTTGGTAGCACACCAAGTGAAACGTTTGGGAGGTCTCAGCTCAGTTCTCAAACATCATGGGAGGTCCCACAGTCTAAGCAAAGGGGCTGAAAAATGTGGAGGCAGGTTGCCATCGTCTCCTGCTCCTGTGGGACCAAGCAGCCTGAGGCAAAGCTGGCCCTGCATGCACTCTTTCTGTGGCAAAATGGAGGCTCCCCGGGCAAATTTTCTGTGTCCAACCCTCCTGCCAGGATTTTGCCCCTGGGGACTGACCTGCTGGGGGGGACGGCGCTCTGGTTCCTTCCTCCGTAGCAGCCATGGTGGGCCAGGCAGCTCCCAGGGAAGCTGGACTCCTGCTGCTCCCTGCAACCTGTGTTTACATTGCTCTTGCTTACCAGGAAGGTATGTACAGTTGGTGGCAACTGAGTCACCAGGTGGGGCAGGACCCACTGGTTGCTTCCTCTGCTCTGTGCATCCTGCCCGCACAGCGCCTGTAGGAATGCATCAGTCACATGTGAGGTGACCTGCCCAGCCCTCAGCTCTCTACAGTCAGCAAGGCAAGTTAAAGATAGCAGCTCTCTCTTTCCCGGGCTTCCTTCATGGACTGGTGCTGCTCAGCTGATCTGTTTGACTCTTCTCCCACCAGCACAGCAGCGTTCATCTCTGCCGAAGGCAAAAGAAGGGACTTTCTGCAGCGCAGGACCCCAAAATCCAGCTGTCACTGTGTCCCCTGCCCAGCAATGCAAAGTTATCCTGAAGTGCCATGGGGTGAAAAGAGGCAGAGTCCCCCTGGTTTCCATCAAGGCAAAGCACAAATAGCACAAGGAGTCTGCACGTTTCAAATCTAAGCATGAATGTGAGTGTGTGTGTGTGCATGCCCATCCCTGGACCAAGCACAGACACACCAGAAGGATGGGGCAGCTCGTGACACTGGTGGGTTTTAGAGCATTAAGCTAGAAGCTAGAGTCAGAGTACAGACTCACCTGCCTGTCTGCTCTAAAACCCACCAGCGTCACCAGCTGCCCCATCCCTCTGGTGTGTCTGTGCTCGATCCAGCTGGGCAAACCTCCTCAGCAGGTCTCTGCCAAGAGCAGGATGAGTCTGCAGGAGTGATCTGCAAACTAAGTGTGGGTCTTGCTAGCGGTGGGAACCAACTTTAAGCTAAATGCACGCTGCTGCTTAGCCAAAGACATCTCTGCTCCCAAATCACCTTTAAAAGCTTGGTTGTGTCCCATCATTGATGACTCTCCAAGCAGCAATGAAAGCTGAGTCAGAGACCCACCTTCAGCCTGGCCCTGGTCTGCAGGGTGCCTTAAGGGTGGGCTTCACACCAGCACTTAAAAAGAGAGATGGAGTGAGCCCAGGATCAAGGCTGGAGCTTAGCTGCCGGGCACAGCCCAGATGCTGCTGCTACCCGCGATGTACAGAGCCAGAGGTGAGAGGAGGCGTCCCCCAAGTAGCGGGGCCCCCACTGTGCTGAGGGGCACGTCCACCCTGCCGCCCAGCAGCTGTGCCACATCCCCACTGGCACAGACAGCTCGGAGGACACAGGAGAGCTGCGAGGAACAACTAGCCACCCCTGCATGACCACGGAGTAGCAAGGCACTGCTGCTTAGGCAAGTGGAGGGCAAGTGGAGGTCAAGGTTTTTAAGCAGCAGGTTAGTCAAGCCCAGAGGCTGAAGGCAACAAGTATGTGGCAGTAGCATGCACTGAGATAGTCATGCGTCATTCCTGTGCACATGTGTTCGCACACAACCCAGAAACTCGCATATCCACACACACCTCTTGCTCACGCGCACACACAGAGGCAACGCTCGTGCTCCCACCAGCTCTTATTTTCACACAGCCCTCCCACACGCAGACTCACCGCTCACACAGCGGCTTGACGCACACGGAGCAGCACACACGCTCGTGTAGTACTTGCACACACAAGGTGAGAGTCCTGAACCCACAGACACAGCCTATCTGTGCCTCTGTCCCCCACGTAGCAGCTCCTGTGGTCCCACTGCAGGCTCACGCAAGGGCTGCCTGGGCCCCAGCTGCTTCACGGACACACAAATTGCAGGCATGACTCAGGAGTGCTCTCCATATGGTTGGTGCACTGTTTTAATCCCATTGGCTTAGGAACTTAAACTGTATTTAAAAACAGCTCTATTAGTTTCCTCAAAGAGTTTTGTTCCTTTCCTGTCTTGGGCTAAGCTGATACCAGTACCCACACAAGACAGCTGCAGTAATTTAACCAAACAGCTTTCCCGGCTCCGTGTCTCAGGTCAGCTGGAGCACTGGCTGCATAAAGGTGGCATCAGCAGCTGGTGGGGCTCTGGCTGCTGCTCTCTGATTCTACGTTTGCTCCAGTGCTTGCTCCTTGCTCAGGGAAGGAGAAGGACCAGCCAGCCACTGACTCACCAAGGAGGCCAAACCCCCCGAGACCAGCTCAGGGACAGGGGAGGGCTTGGCTGGTGCTAGTGCTGGTGGCCGCTCTCACCTTATACCTCACTGCTTCAGCTAGCTCCAAAAGCTCCTCCAGGGAGAAGACCGTGGGCTCTGCACTAGAGGCATTCTAGCTAAGGAAGAGGCAGTGTTGAGGGTGTGCAGGGCAGGACAGCATCAGTCTCTGGTGCAGGTCACCCTCCAGCCCTGCTGCACTCTCCCTGGACCAGAGAAGCTCTGCCCTGGACAGATCAGCCCTCAGCTCTGGTGGAGCATCGTTGGGGCACTCACTGGGAAGGACCAGGCTTATGCCGAAGCAGAATGCAGTACTCGGTGCTGAACCAAGAGCCGAGGAGGCAGGAAAGGCATTTCACAGGGAATCCCGGCAGCTTGCCTTTGCAGCATGTCCTTCACGGGCAGCCAGTTCGCTGTGTGAGAGCGATCGCGCTTTGCAGTCAGCTCATGAGCTTGAATTACAGCTGGCGTTTCTGTGCCACTTGCTGAGAGGAGCAATTTACTTGGCTGCAACACAAACTCCTCTCTCCTCTTGAAAGTGCTGGGAAAACCCCTGGGGATGAGAGAAGGGCTCCTCTCCTGCCCCATTCTCCCCTCCCCAGTACCACTGCCACCCTCCCCAGCACCTCGGGGAGCACCCTGCCGCTCAGACCACCTTCCTGACTGGGGCAAAGCCCACCAGAGGGAAACTGAGGTTTGAGCTTCTATGGGTTTCTGTGTGAGTCCCACTGCCTTTCTGGGCCTTAGTCTACCAATAAGTTAGGAGGCTTTCCCCATGCACTGCTGTGGTCCTCAGCGATGGGTGAAGTGCCTGTGTTGTTGTCGCAGAGGGTGGCTTTGCTGGGCCCCTGTGAGCACCCTGGGAAGCTCACAGTGCTGCTTCTCATCTGGGAGGCCCACAGCATTGCCAGGAGATGATGGGTAATATGGATAAAGCAGGTCAGCAGCGCCTTGCTACTCCCTGCCAGATGTGGGAGCTCCAGACACTGCTCGGCAGTGAGTTGGAAATGAGATTGTTGCAGTTGCTTCCAAAGCGTAGTTTTTCAAACAGCCAAGGCAGAAGTAGTGCAGTCCACCAGCAAGGGCTTGCACAGCCTGGCCTGCTACACCAGTGGTCAGCTCACACCCTGGGCCTCCACACCCAGATCCACCATCCAGTGAGCCAGGCACTGCTTTGTTTGGCCTGCTCTGCAGAGACACTCACCCTGCAGTCATATAGCCAGAGCAGGACCCCTGGCAAGAAAGCGAGCACAGCCACCCCTATGACCAGCCCCAGGCATCAGGTTCTGCCACCCCTCTGCATTAGTGTGCAATGTTTCCCCTGAGACTGGAAAGGGGATACAAGGAGCCCCTACCTGTTAGGGACTGCTGTGGGTGAGTCCAAAAGGAGCTGTCTCCTCTGGGTCTGTACTGCACCTAGTGCCTCCATCTACCTCTTGCAATCCCTGCTGCTGGAGGGCTTTGGGATGAGCTGTGAAGTCCTATGCTACCATTTATGACTCCCATGGAGGTTGTGAACCTCAAAGTCCTGCTGCAATTCCAGTCCAAATCCCTTCCTGCGATTTCAGCTGGCTGTGAGATCCCTCTACCTGAGCTATTACTATCATATATTTTGTTCTTTCAAATGGCTGTGACAGTCCACCCTGAGCTTGCTGCCAAGGTCCCTAAGGCTACACGGACACCAGGTTACTACTCTAGTCCTCAGTCAAGATTGCCCCATCTCCTTCCAGTCCGTGCCCAGCCTTTCATTTTACTCATTTCCCTATTGTTTTGCATCAGAGGTTGCATGGGTCTGAGCTCCAGGAACAGGAGGATAAATCTGACTCTACATAGACCTTCTTTTCACATGGTAAGAAATTATTTACACTTGGGTTGGGATTTGCTGCTCTACTAATTTTGTTGTCTCCTCGTTTGCCCATTTGTCCCACATTTGAGATGCTGTTCCCTCCCTCCCTCCCTCCCTCCTTCCCTCACTCCCTCTGCGTGTGTGTTTCTTTCCTCCCTCCTCCTCACATTTGGCCCGGTTAGGCAGGTGCAAGAAGAAGACACACAAGGAAGATAATCCATCAACTCAAATATCACTGAGTTTTACGGAGACGGTTTTTTTATCTAAATGACCTTTAAAACAACTGAGTTCTTAGGTTCCCTCCCCCATCTAGGAGCTGTTCTTGTGCTCTGCTGTAACCTTCTCTTCTCTGTCCCAGCATTTATTTATAAGCACTATCAATAATTAAGAAGCTGCCTGCCTGCCTGCCTGCTTTCCTCGGCTGCAGTGTTGACAGAGGCATCTCTGACATTTCCTGGCTCCCCCTGGCTGCTTTGCTCATTTAGGCTTTTAATTTTCTTCCTGCGTCTTGTTAGAAACATAGCAATCACCGACCTGGAACGGACCAAAGGTCTGTCAACTCTCCCCTTGCCAGAAAAGCTCCCCACAGCCTGCTAGTTGCACCCGACAGAAGCGGCCTGCGACCTGTGTGCTCGCACCCTGCAGCAGCAGCAGCAGCGCAGCACAGTTTGTCTAGGGTTTCCCTGCTGACCGGCATCACTTCTCCCTGGCAGAGCCAGTTTCCGATAGAAGAGACACTCTCTTGCTCTGGGTCAGGCTGGGACGTGCGGCTGCTGGTCTTGTAATACCCACACCCTCCGTGCAGCTCTGCTGTGGCTCTGCAGCCGTTCTAGTCCCGTGGCCTGCCTCGGACACCTCATAGTTCAGAGAAAGGCACTAGCAGCCTGGTAGATGCTCTTCCCCCTCTGACTTTGTGTCACAAGGGCCTTCCTGGTGCCCCGCCTGTGTCTCAGCAGGACAGGGGAGCTATGAGGAAGGGCGCGCTAGATAGCCAGGAAGGGGCTCTTGTCACCTGCAGCCCTGCTGTGGCCCCGAGGCTCACGCAGGGCAGTTTGGCTTGTCCACATCTAAAGGCCAGGGAGCTCCGCACACAGGTCGCTTGTTGCTGAGGTCATCATGGCTGTGGCTGTTCGCAGGGAGCAAGCAAGGGCTCTGCCACCTGGGCCCCTGCCTCCGGCAGTGGGGGCTCACCACGACTCC